GGAGAGCCTGATGTACCCGCAGTAAAGGAAAGAGTTAGGTTCATCCACTCCCTGGTGTACCTCTTGATTAATGCCTAATAAGAGCAGAACTTCAGACTGGGCTGCAGCAATACGAAGCGTGTGAGTAGGAAAAAGGAGGGCTGCCGGTAGCGCTCAGTCCCCTTGAACTTTGCAACTGCAGCCCACCAGGCTCCTCTGTCCATGGAGTTTTCCAGGCAAGGATACTGGAGCCGGTTGCCATTTCCTACTCTGGGGCATCTTCCTGACCCAGCGATCAAACTCCTGTCTCCTGCCTTGGTAGATGAATTCTTTACCACTGCCCCACCTGGGAAGCCCTGCAGGTAGGGAAAGGAGATGCCAAAATAATTGTCCACCTCTCAACCCCAAGCCACTTATGTCCTACAGGATGTTATGGAAAGAACGATCCAGTGGACTGCTGGCGTCTGGTAAACCTGGATCACTAGTTCAAAGCTGAGATCCTAAGGCCCCAGGGAAAACCTCCCGAATCTCAATTTCTGGGACTGGTCAGCAGAAACCACACGTTAGCAAGCTCCCCTCGGTGACACATGCAAAGACTTAAGAATGAATCTCCTTATTTCTTCTGCATGCTGTAGGATGGTTGGTACAGATTTCTCCTTCTCAGGAGAGAAACTGAATTGCTAGCACTTCTGGCTTCATCATTGCCTTAGAAGACCCACCTTGGATAACATGATCAAGCAGTCCTGACCCTCGGTACACCTCCAACTCCAGGGCGACACCAGCTGCTGAAGCTAGAATGCCTTTGTACACACACTTCAGCATCTATCTGGTGATCTGATTTTTAAATATTCACAAGAGCGGTGAGAACGTATGGGTCATAGTGGTGGGGTTCCACTGGGATGACATTGACACCCACACCCAGCTTAAGAGATTTCCCTTATCAGCCAGAGGGGAACGAAAAGGAATTTATGTCAGTCTTTTCCTTGGTCAGGCCGGCATAAGTATGGGAAAATCTTTTGCTACTGGAGCACAACTTAACCGGGATTTTTGCAAGTCCTCATACCACGCCTTAAAAATAGTGTCTCTGTGCTTAGGGGTGGTCTGGGGGTCACTTGGGAGAATTTGCTCACTTCTGGACAAAACTGCCAGCTGTCTGAGGTTCGGAAGTGCCTTGTTAATCAGGAAACAACATGAAGTTATCACTGTCATTGCTCACAGAATACAAAGTCACACCGAAGAATTCCTTAGGCAAGAAACCTGTAGCCTGGATAAGACAAGCTGGGCTTGTCAAGTGCACTGCCTGCGTCCAGAGGGAGGACCCAGACCTTCTAATTCAGGCCTTGTTCCCCCCAGACTGAGTTCTGGTTCCAGCAATGCCAGGGACCTGGAAGCCCCAAACTCTCTGAGCAAACCTGGCCATCTCCCATCTGAGCATCTCATCTGTTAACAGGGAAGATATGGTTTCCTCTAAGGCTCACTCCATATACCAAAGAGTTTTCAAATCTTAGTTGGAATTTTAACATGGAATTTCTGGAGGGGAAAGAGCATCTGCAACCAAAAACATGGAAAAGAAACTCAGGCAGGGTTGAAAAATACATTCTTGGGGAGCAGGTATTTAACCTCTCTGATCTGGAACATACAGCCGGGAGAAACTTGTGGAAGTGATTCAGGGGAGCAGGTGGTATACATGAGATGGGGTGCTGGTGCCTTGGGGCCCCCAGGTACTCTGCCATCCCACCATGCCCCGTTACCACGTGAAAAGTATTGAGTGGGGGACAGAAAACATCACTGGAAAAACTGAAGAGAAGGGGTATGTGTGAGGCGGAGGAGGGGAAACGCTGTGCCATCGCGGGGAGGAGGAAAAATTCACCATGCACATTACCACTGATTAATTGAGTGATTTTAGTCAAGTGAATATTGATACATGGCAGGAAAAGCATGAAAATAAAATGAACACATACGGGAATTACTATTAACATAAGTGATAACATCAAAACATCTGGTAAAATGCAGTCAAAAATAAAACACACACAAATGAAATGGAATGTAAAACATTTTCACAGTATTCAAAGCATTTATAAGAGATTTAGGCTCTATAAGAGGAGTGCTACGTGGAGGAACTAGAGGAAACAGGAATCTGGTCTGTGTCCTATGTATCTGCTGGTGACAGGTCAGTGGGACCAGCACATTGTTCCAGGGAAACCTTTTCTAAAACAGAGCACCTAAGCCCAAGACATCCACACACTTATGGCAGAGCAACTGGGTACTTGGAGTCTGCTGAAAAAGACGGATTCCAGGTTTGCACAACAGGGCCTCTGTCATTTACAGACCCAGATGCCTTAGGGAGCCCTTGGTGCTAATTTACAGCCACCCAAAGCCAAGGGTGACACAGGATGCTCTACAAATAAAACATTGTTGGAATTCTCACCTCACTTTCTGTCTGCTAAGGAAAATACTGGTACTCTTCAAAGATTTGACTGAGTTTTGCCCATGACCTCACCGGATTCCACCCAGGATGATCATTTTAAACCTTTATGAAGACGATCTTTTGCACTAGCAGTGATTACCAAATCACCTACACCGCTCTTCTGGAAAGGAGTGAGCAAGCCCACGAATCTGCAAGTTGGTTTCGTCATCCCCTTTGTTGAGAAAAGCAATGCTTTGTGATCAAATGCAGCTCTGGACCCAGAGCCTCCCTTCACCCTAAACTGGGTGACGGGTCACAGCCCAGGCTGTCCCATATCCACAGTGAACCTCAGGTCCGGGGCTCTGTAGCCGGGGAAAAACCTGCAGCTGCAATCCACATTTCCAATTTATTCTGAACTCTTATCTGCAAACACCACTTCCTACCTGAGAATTCCCATTTAGAGTCTACCTATTCACTGATAACCTTTCTAGAGTAACCACTGGGCCCCACTCAAAGCTTTCCCAAGACCCCCACCCTGAAGCAGCCCTGTGACATGACACCCTCTGTCCAAGGTGTCACAAGCAGATACATAGCACTGAGCTTTGGGGTTAATCAATCAAAACTAAGACCCAGATCCAAGCTTTCATGAATTGCTCTGAATTTCAGTTGACAATAGGAAAGGAGGATATTTCTAATTCACTAATATATATATACACACACATTTTTTTTTTAAAAATCATCCAAAATTACAGGCAAATCACATACAATCCCCAACACTTTATGATTAAAGGTCAGAGAGGATAAAAAATGTATTAAACGATGGATCACTAATTGTCAGGGGTTCATTAGATCAGGATAACCCTCAAGTAGGTAACGAGGTTGGCAGGCTGATTTTCAGGCTGTAGTTTAGGAAGTTAACAGGATGAGCCACGGGGTTGACAAGTCCAAGTCCCAGTGCAGCATCAGATTCACCCAGAGGGACAATCACTGAAGTTCTCAAGGTGTTACAGAGAATTAAGAATCTGACGTGAGGAAGAAATTAACATTAATTTTTTTTTTTTTTTTTGGAATTACTTCCTATACATTGAACGAGAGGAGTCAAGTTGCTTCCATGAATGGGTTTATGTACATCACTTATTAACACAACGGCTGTGAGAATTATCTTAGGGCCCTCAGGGAAAAACCGCAGTTGCTTTGCTTTCTAAATTCCCTCCTTGGAATGGGGACCTTTATAGCTTAACTTTCCCTCTGCAGAAATGAAAACAAAATATTTTGTTAAGTGCAGGAGGACAGGCAGGCAGGCTATTCTGAATGTCTCTGATCTCTAGGCAATCAAGTTCAAAGGAATCCATTCTTCAGAAGAAAGACGGGAGTGGGACGCACTGTGAGTTTAGATTAGCGTTGTGTTGGGCCCAGGGTGACCCAGAACCCCTCAGGAAGGAGAACCTCAGCTACGCTTCCAGGAGAATCCACCCACCACAGAAAATACCCAGAAAGACAGTTGCTCAGCTGGAAAGTGACCTCAAAGGCATGCAGAGTCCCCCATCTTGCCACACCTTTCCAAATGCTCCATGGAGACTTTTTTAAACAAACAGAAAGAAACCTTGAAGAGTCAGTGGGTTGTTGATTGCTTTAAAACAATGTGAAACAAACAAACAAGAGAATTAGATTAATAAGCTCTTCACCCAGTGACAGTTTGCCCTAGACTAGCAATTTGCTGGACTGTTCTAAATTTTTTTTTCTGTTTTTCTCCTTTAACTTTGTTTTGTTTTTTTTTTGAAAACCACTAACAATTGCCTTCCCAGTCTATGAGTCATCACCTCTGTCACCCAAGGCAGGCCTGTGCGGCCTTCCACGTGTCAGGAGGCGAGATCACGGCTGGGTCTGATGGTAACCACCTCCAGGGCATCCGAGACAGGCTGGTCCGTGTCAAGGACCACACGGAGGGGGGGGGCAGGCTCTGCACTCCCGTGGACTATTTCTCAAGCTCCCCCTCCCTGCACCGGTCACTCTCCGGAGCTGATCTTCATGGTGAGTGTGGTGGTGTGTTGGTTCCTGTCTGAACAATGGACAGAAAGAGAAAATTCCTCTGGAACGGAAAGCCATGCATTTTGCCAAGAGTTAGAAGGTTCTAGTTCCAACGGCATAGACTAGCTGATAGGTCCATACATGGTTTGCAGCGACACCGAGAGCGTAGCGGAAGCTAGCGTCTGCTGCCCTCACTAGCTCTGGCCACCAGCCCCCTTTCCGGGCCGGCAGCGTTGCCTTTTTCAGTGACTGTGTCTCCGGTGGACCCGGCCGGCCTGAAATCTCCCTTTCCCCCCCGGGGACGTGCTGCTCCACTTGTAGGTCTTGAGAAGCTTCCTAATCTAAGTGGGTTTCTCACCTGGGTGTGCGGCTTTAAATATCGGCTCTACCTGGTGGGGGCTGGAGCCTGGGGAAGGCAGGAGGGTCAAGGATGCTGCAAAGCAACTGGGTCACACCGCCCTCCACCTCGAGGGAGCAAGGGGGTGGGGGGTGAACCGCCGGGGGTCCAGGGGCGTCCGCTCAGCCCTCCCCTCCCCTCATCTTCTTCCTATCTTAAAACTTAGCCCAGATTCTGTCTACTGCATACACTAGACTTTCTCTGCCCTCTGTCCCTGTCCCCCCACCTCCCAAGAATCACTTGAAGACCGACTGGAAGGTGGGACACTCGTGATTCTTCATCTTCTTCATGAAGTTCTTGAACTCCTTGTTTTTCTTGTCCCACTTGTGGATGGCTGTCAGCAGGTACTGGCTCTTGACCTTGCGGCCCATGATGAGGAAGTGCTGGCTGAGGTTGTCCAGCTGGTGGCAGGGGCAGTCGGCCCCGTTCTTCAGGTAGAGCACCAGCTTCTTCAGCTCCTTCTTCTTGATGGGCCCCAGCTTCAGGGGCTTCTTCTTCTTGGGGACAATCTTCTTGTCGCCGTTTTCCTTTTTCACCTCTTTGATTTTCATCCTCAGGGCTAGAGGGGCGAGGGCAGGGAGGGGAAGAGGAAAGGAGAGAGTTTTAGAACACGGCTTTTCGGAAAGCTAGTGGGGAACACGGGGGCTCAGCTCGGGGCTCTGAGATGACCTGGGGGCTGGGAGGGGGCTGGGGGAGGGAGGGCCCCGAGGGAGGGGATCTATGTACACATGTAGCTGCTTCACTCGGTCATACAGCAGAAACCAACACGACATTATAAAGCAATTACACTCCAATTAAAAAAACAAAAACACGGCTTTTCATCCACAACCACAACCCACCTGGGGGCTGAAGAGCAGGAGAAATAAAAATCAAAGAGCACCTCAAACAGGGAGGCTGTCTGTATCTATTCTATAGATAAGGACCAAGGTCTCAGGCGACCTCCAACACAGATTCTGCCTCCTTGGTTTCAGTGTATCTGATGGTATCTTAATAGTTGCCACAGGATGCCATGAGCGGCTCAAACAAATGTTCAAAACCAAATCATGGGTTTTTTTAAAAAAAAACTCTGGGATTCAGATGGTCATACAATGCTTCAAGAGAAGAAGGGGACCCTCTAATCCAATCAAGGCCATATAATTTAATGGTACAGACCTCGGCACTCAAAGAAAAAACTTACCCTGAGTTTGTTGTTTTTTTAGGAGAAAGTTATTGGTTTAGTTTTTTTTAACATCCAAAGGACCTAAAATTCCGGCTCTGGAAATAAGACAGACAAGACCTACGTGTGTGCTGCCAGCAAGGCAAAGCTAACTGCATCAAACATCAGTGTCCGACTTCAGCATCAGGACCATGGTTCCAACCATGGCGTCTCCAGGAAGTTCAGACAGCATGTACCACTGACAGGCTGCCCACCATTCATCAACCACTAGACGGCGCCACTAATGGGCTATCCTATCCACAGGGTAGACTCACAGAACCAAATTTGACTTTGACCTTTCAACCCACTGGAGCAAATGTTCGTGAGGGTCTGATGGATAAATCCAGGTGTCGGTTCCTCAGATCCAACATGGGACCCGGGCTTCTTCTATTGTCAGCCTGGCTCCCTGCAGAGAGGGAAAGCCAATCTTTCTTTCTCTACGGAGCCCGAGCCAACAGTGCTTGGGTGTTATTGTGTGGACAACACACTCCCGTGCTGGCCACACAGGGTTACCTGGGGAGGGTAAATTAGCGTGGAGGCGTCCTGCAATTGGAAATGCACCAAGAACACAAACACGGCATCCCCCATAACAATCAGCTCCCCTCAAAAACTGGCCAGCCAGGGATCGCCCCAAAGGAGTTGAAAACCATTTCTAGATCCTGGTCACCAGATGGTATGTCCATCCTCCGAAGTCGTCTGAATTCCAAATCACTAAGCCCTCTCTTTTAAATATCTCCAAGCTTCCACCCACACTCCATGAAGAAAGACTTGAATCTGAGCTGCAGAACAGTAGCTAGTGATTAGGAAAGCATCTGGATGTCAGCAAATGTGTTGAATATTCTCCATGCACTTCCTCCATGAAACCTAATAACTCCACATGGAAGGCGCAATTATTCCCCCCATTTAACAGATGAGAAAACTGAGGTGTCAGGGTTACCTTTACTTGCCCAGAGTCACTGATCCTAAACTTAAACTCATGTCCACTTGTAATTACTGTGCTGTGCAGGCTGAATTGCAACATTCTTTATAATGAAGCTGACATTTCAAGCGTTGACTAAATGGACCAAGAAAATAAGGGGAAACAGTTAGGGTTAGGGCTCTCTTCCCAGGTTCACCCACATTTCAAAATGGCTTTACTTACTGAAATGGTTAAGAGTTCCTCCTGGTTGAAAGGCGCTATTCCGGCCAAGGTAACACTGAATGAGTGATGGCTTTATTATTTAATGTTTAGTTGAGTAAAAGCACTTTCTTGGCCAACCCAAGAATTAGGACGAGGGAGAAATACTAGAACAAATAAATCTTCAGGGGATGCTTGTGCTCCCATCACCTTTTCTTATGGAAAGGGTCCTAGATCTCCAGCCTCTGGGCCCCATGTAACACCCCAGGCCCGAGGCCCGGATGAAAGACTTCAGTCCGAGGGTGGCAGAAGTTTTGGGGACTAGTCCAGACAGCGAAGGGCTAACCCTCACCCCGAAGGCTGGACAGACCTGCACACACGGGAGTGTGCTGAGCACAGACTCCCAAGGAGCTCCTGGCTTTACCCTCCACCACCCCTGCCGAACCAGTCACTGCCCAGACCTTCTGATTTCACTTGACTCCCCCACCCACCTGGACCCTGAGGACGAGGCAGGAGTACCCACAGATGGAAGAGCATCAAATAGGCAGCAGCACAGATCACCCTCTGGACCTCTGTCCGCTCAGTCGTGTCCAACAACTTTGTGATCCTGTGGACTGTAGTCCACCAGGCTCCTCTGTCCATGGGGATTCTCTAGGCAAGAATACTGCAGTGGGTAGCCATGCCCTCTTCCAGGGGATCTTCCCAACCCTGGGATCGAACCCAGGCCTCCCGCATTGCTCGCGGATTCTTTACCGACTCAGCCACCAGGGAAATCCAAGAATACTGGAGTGAGTAGCCTATCCTTTCTCCAGGGGATCTTCCTGATCCAGGAATCGCACCAGGGTCTCCTGCACTGCAGGCAGATTCTTTGCCAGCTGAGCTACCAGGGAAGCCCCATTGTCTGCCCAGACCTGCCCCAACAGGCCCACCAGGCTTGCTCCCCTGGTAGGTTTATAATCCTTGTACCTGGTGGGTCACCTGAGAAAAGACTTCACCTGTGTGAATCTATAGCTCACTGGGCAAGAAAGTTCTCCTGGGGATGAGCCCGAAAGACTCCGCGCCAGGCTCGGCGGGTTCGGCTCCATTTCTGCCCACCCCCTGCACTGTGGGGACCCACTGACCCCAGGAAGGGATCTAGCACTTCAGGGAGGCGAGGCGATGGGGACGCGTGCCAGGTGACCCTGGACTGCTTCCCAAGGTCTAAAGCCACGATCCCAGTGTTGCTGTAGGCGTGATCAATGACATCACTGGGGGGGTGGGGGTGGGGGGGGACAAGTGCATTTCCCAGGACAACTCGGTACCTCCTATGCTGCAGAGAAGTGAGCCATCATCTGGGAGAAAGAACCCCCCATATGCCAAGCCCAGGATGGGCACTCTCTGTGTGAATCCTGACATCATCCACAGCAACGATCGTTCTTACTGATGACGATCAGTACGAAGGACTCAGGGTGGGTGGTGATAACAGGAGGCCAGGCTCTGTAAGAAGAGACTCGGGACTCGAACCCACACCTGACCCCGAAGAGCACGCTGGTTCCCACGACACCAACGGGGTTTCAAATGCTAGTGCTCCAGTGGAAACTATTTCCCTCTTTTGATTGTGTTGCTTTTAATCACAACTCAAATCAAAAATTAATGTTCCTTTGCCATGACCGTGTCAAGGAATTTGGTTTACATAGGTGGGGAGAGGGGAGGGAGAAGCCCGTGATGGAAATGTGTTTTGCATTAGACTCTCCGCTTCTTGCCATTTGGCTCACTTTCTTTTTTTGAGGTGGGAAAGAGGAGGCACATGTGGCCAGAAATTACTACCATCTTTTCCATCTTCCAGGGGTTTACTTTAGCGATGCAGATTACCAACAATGTTTGGATAGGCGATTAGCTGTCCCAGGTTGATTTCCCCCTGCTTGTGGCTATGTGTACAGCCCCCCATCATGCCACAACCTGGGGCTGCTGGGTTGGGGATGGGGGCTGGGGGACTGACCCCCACCTCCTCTCCTCCTCCCACCCAGCCTCCACCGCAGGGACAGCCCGGAGCCCCAGGGACTTCGCCCGCAGACTGTGTTTGCATCACACAGGGTGCTGGTGCGCAGGTAGGAGAAGCCCGAGGATGGAGCGGCTGGGCTTACAGCTGGGGCGCAGCTGGAGTCCCCCGGTCCTGGGTTCAAACTGTGTTCCGTGTTCAACCACAGAAGCTGGTTTCGAGCTCCCAGAGTCTGCATTTTCCATCGGTAAAGCGCAGAGTGCCGTCTGCCTGCTGGCCCAGCAGGTTGGCCATCCGGAAGGCCGTGCTGAGTGGTCCTGGGCTGGCGGTGACGCCCACCCCCAGCACTGTACCCCCCGCCCCGTCCCTATGCTTCTCTGTCTCCTCCCGGGGCTGTCTCCCACGGGTGATGAGTCCACGTCTGCCTCGGGCCCTTGATCTCAGCTTCCCTGAGCTAAAACCAAACATAGAAACAAACAAAAACAAAACCCTTCTTTGGGCTTGTTTTTTTTTTTAGCAACAACTTAACATCCTCTGACAGTAGAATAGGACTTCTGCTTCTCACCTTGCTGGTCACTGCCAGCAAGAATTCAGAGACCAGATACTATGAAAACTCTAAACTTAAGGTCACAATTAGGGCCATCTGGGTCTTTCTCCACAGCCTTAAAATTAAACAACCCCTTCTAACAGGGAACTCAGTGCGCAGTGCTCTGTGATGACATAGAGGGGCAGAATGGGGGTGGGGGGGGAGGGAGGCTCGGGAAGGCAGGGATATATGTGTACATATAACTGATTCACGCTCTTGTACAGCCGAAGCGAACACAACATTGGAAAGCAGTTATACTCCAATAAAAAAAAAAAATTAAAAACAAACACAACCCCCTTCTATTCAGATAGACTTTGAAAGCTTCATTCCACGTGCAGTCACCAAAACCATATTTTTTTGCTCACAACTGATCCTCCCTCGGTAGCCTCCCCACAAGGCCTGGACATTTTCTGAGGCTGAAATGAGCAGAGGAAGTTCATTACTCTCATCCCAAACCCACACTGGCTTCAAAACCATCTCTTTCTCCTGACCTGCTTATGCTAATGAGGCCGCCATCCTTCCAATCACCCGGACAGGAAGCCTGGATGAGAGGCCCCAGTTGGCCAAGGGCCAGGTCTTTACAGGACCCAAGGACCCACAGTGAGGAACTGCAGCAGGAATGCAAGAAAGGGCCCCGAGGGGGAAGGTGGGGAGGGGGCTGAGTCAGTCCCAGCTTTGTGACT